GTATATACGCGACATACTGTGCTACGTGGAAAAGTATGTCTCGCGCGGATCGCCCCTGCGATGCGAGGAGGTCGTGACATTGGATCCATCGTGCATCAGGATCAGCGTCAGCGAAGCCGTCGACAGAATGGGAGTGTTCGACGATACGGTCCTGTGTCAAGCGACGAGAAGTTTTTTTAACAAGGGCCTACTATACAAGTTTCGCAATTGGTCGGAACATGTCGATCGATGCATCGGAGGCGACTTGTTCTGGATGAAACGCGTCGGAGCTTGCTGGTTCACATCGCAGGCGTACGCTCCCAGCGTACCCGTCGCACAGGTGCAAAAATCTATAAGAGCCGAGTACAGGATTATGCTGTTCATGCACGGGCGCAGCGTGACGTACAACTTTGCGATCGCCAAACACATGTACGCCAAGGACACGGAGATCCTGTCCAACGATCGCGGAATCGTTCAGATTCGCCGCCTCGACGACAACGTCGACGACTTTATGTATCCGCTGTACACCGACAGCATAAATTCGACGGATATGATTGTACTGCAGTTGATATGGCGTGCGAAACACGGACTGCCCGCTCTGAAATTGGGAGTATGCGACGAAAAGCACGGTGAACGCTCCGACGACGGTGAGCTATACACGGACGTGGATCGCAACGATGTCGCGAGAGAAGCGGTGCGAGACATGATAACGATGTACGCGACGTGGGAGTACTCCCGTGGTATCGGTGCGTCGAAACGCGTTGTCAACAGTATCGACACGGTCGAAGCGGCGCGATATTACTACGACAATTTCCAACGCGCTTTCACGCTGCGACACGTTTACCAACAACACAAACGTATGTCGGTGACGCGGGTGCGAATCGAGGGCACAGTGACGGTAGACAGTCTGGCGAAATCGATCCTCTTGGAAGACCAGACGACGGTATCGAGATTAATAAAAATGTCCTTAAATCTCAACGACAGAAACAACACGATTTACGTCGCCTACAATCATCTACGCTACTTGATCGCGAATTACTTCGACGTGTTTCCCATGCACGCGGTGAGATCTGGAAAGAAGTGGCCAGTGTGGGCCGTTGTGTCGGACACACGGCGCTTGCTGAAACGTAGTTACACCTCGTTGACCGTGCAGCACGCGAAAGAATATATGAAAAGAAAAACGTTAGGACAATGCAGCATGACCGACACTTATTTACCGGTAATCGAGATGGACAAAGTGGAAACGGGGATTTCCGACGAAAAGGCAATATCGGTAATATCGGACGACGAGGACGTCGCTCTGTCGGAGCGTTTGTCGAGACGAAAGAAAACGGCGACTACGGGTTTGGACGAAGAGGAGGTACCGTTGTCGGGGCGTCTGTCGAAACGAAGCAAAACGGCGACTACGGGTTTGGACGAAGAGGAGATACCGTCGTCGGAGCGTCTGTCGAGACGAAACAAAACGGCGACTGCGGGTTTGGACGAAGAGGAGATACCGTCGTCGGAGCGTCTGTCGAGACGAAACAAAACGGCGACTGCGGGTTTGAACGAAGAGGAAGTACCGTTGTCGGAGCGTCTGTCGAGACGAAACAAAACGGCGACTGCGGGTTTGGACGAAGAGGAGGTACCGTTGTCGGAGCGTCTGTCGAGATGAAACAAAACGGCGACTACGGGTTTGGACGTAGAGGACGTACCGTGAAAAAAAAATCTGTCGGTTAAACGTTACCGTCACGTATGGGGGGTCTCGTTATGAATAACGACGGTTGTCGTCCACGAACGATAAGTATCGTTCATGAACGACAAATATTTATCGTTAACCATGGTACAGAATCGCATTTAGCGACATTCGTCGACCGACGCTACTAACGACACCGACAGTTGTCGGTAAGCGTGTACAGAATAGCCCCCCTGAATAAGAAAGAGCCCACTAAACTAAGTCGAATTGAGTCCTTTACCATTTTGTAATTTTCGCAATAGAGAGAGAGAGAGAGAGAAAGAGAGAGAGTTATAAGATATCTTAATTACTAAAATATTGATTTTCAAGAATTTTTTACTCAAATACTAT